AAAACCTTGCCACGCAAAACCAACACATGTAGTTAAAGATTAAATTAATTTTCCAACTTTATCCTGCAAAATGTATTTGTTTTCTAGTGTGATTTCTTTAGAAGAAATAAATTACAAAAATTGGCTTGTCAGAGGAGATACTGACCCAGAAGTATAAGACTGGATTTTTACTTGAATTTTATTTTTATTACATGTGTTTTCTACCCTTCTGGTTTTCCTTTTGTGTGGTGCTTTTTATTGTGGTTTTTTGTTTGGTTTGTTTTTAAGAATGACAATATATATTATCTTATTATCTTGTTAAAATAACCACTAGCTGTTGCATGTTGTAGGTACTTTTTGCTGTGTGTGAACTACTTCTTTTATGGAGAGACTGTAGCTGATTACTTCGCTACGTTTGTTCAGAGAAGAGAACAGCTTCAATTCCTAATTCGTTACCACAGGTTTATATCTTTTGCACTCTATTTAACAGGTAAGCGTAGGAAATTGCAAAAATGAAAGAGCTTTATGCTGCATTTGTTTCTGTGCTTATTTCTTTTTTAAAAGAAATTAATTGCTTCCCAGTTTTATGCACTTTCAGTTTCTTTTTCCTCTTGATGTTTGAGGAAATTAGGTATTCGAATGTTCCGTTTTTCCTGTGAAAAGATGATTATAAATTTTGCCTTCACTGAGAAGAAGAAAGCAGCCTAAACAAGTAGATGATCTTGAGAAGGTTGAGCTAAAAGCACTTAGGAGGAGTTGGCATGAATTAGTTTTGATCGCTGAAGAACTGGGGCTCAATACCTGAATACATGAACACTATTTTGGCAGTCTGTGGAGATGACTTGTATGTGTAATTGCTGTGCTGGGTTGATGCTTTATTGTGCAAGTGTTCTGCTAGGTCTACAACGATAAGATTTACCAATATGTTTTAAACTGATTATTCAAAGATGCCTGAGGCTTTATTTTGTCTGAAAGATGTTCAGATGCTTGCCTCATGGATAGATTTTCTTCCCTATCCAAAGAAAGACTTTTTAAGAGCCTCTTCTCTAGGAAGAAGAGACATAAGCTGACAGTCTTGTGGGGTATTGCTTTGTGAACATGTAAATATAGTCCATGGTGTTTTCAGCAATGCAGTTAATATTACTTTAGCCTAAAATTAAATCAATTGAAGACTCAAATTGGCCTAAGGGACAGGAGACTGCTATGCTACAGATACTTGTAAAATATATTAAAAAACATGTTCTTCATGATGAACTGTCAGTCTATCTACTGTTGTGGGTTTTTTTTTTTTTTAAACAGTTAAAAATTCTACTCTGTGCTTAGATCACAAGTTTGAAACCAGCTTTTTCAGCTGGCTTTAGCTTGAGGAAACTAACTTAACTAATGCCTCCGCTGAAGGGTGGTGAGAGGAGAGATGAGACAAACCAGTCATGAGCAAAACCAAGAGGCAGAGTGTAGCAGAGCCCCTTGGCAGCTGTCACATTGGGATCGTGGGGTCACCGAGGGGCTGTCCCCAGGGTTAAGGGTCTTTTGAGGGCCTCTGACCCCTGCTGGCATGGGAAGCTGCCCTCGGGGAGAAGAGGTGCTCTGTTAGCCACCCAGAATGTGTCTTTCAGTCAGTTGGATTCTATAACGCCTGCACTTCACACTTGCATTGCATGCAGCCATAAGCCTGTCTGGGGAAAAGGGGCAAGCTGTTCTCTCTTCTTTCGATTATTTCTGTTTATTATTCAAAACCAGCTTGTTGACCTGTTTTCTGAGTGGTTTTTAAAAGTGATGGTCTCCTCCCCTAAAAATTGATGTCTATGATGGGGCCTTGTAAGTAATGAAATGGATGCTCTTTGCTGATGTTAAATAAATCTTGTGCTCTAATGAAAGTAAGTCTATATTTACACTTAACTGAATACAAGGAAATGCTCTTAGCAGCAGAGGGATTAAAAACGGCTTCAAGGGAAGAGAATTACTGGTATATCGCAGATCAGTGTAATTAAATGTAAGATGGTACAAACTACACTTGCTTTGTTTTACAGGCTTCTGCATGTTTGTTTTGAGTTTAGTGAAGAAACATTATCGTCTGCAGTTTTACATGGTGTGTATTACCCACTTTGCTGTGGTCGCTCACATTATGAATGTCACTAGAAACAGTCATGTCCCTGTGGTCATAAAATAGCTTGGAAGAGGGGTGTGAAAAATGTGCTTAAACTGATAGTAGCATGAAATCAAGTGGTGTTGGGCTGTTCGGTGTTGGGCTGTTTACCTTGCAGCTTAGTATTATTATATCATGGAATGTGGTCTTTCAGTCAATATAAGCTGTCATTGGTGAGGCCTTGTGCATATACAATGTGATACGTTTCCCTTAGTGACAGACTGATAAGAAAGATTCCTGGAGGAAGGGGTGTGCGTCTCCCTCCCAGATCTGCAGCCAAATAGTTCAGCATAGCATGGGGAAGTGGTTCTTGTGACTCAAGTGTTACTTCGTAGAGGCCAGACTGAAGTACTATGAAGGAAACTTGAGCTTAACCCCTATGTGGAAGATTTATTCTGTGACACTTGTATTTGTCCACCTAATAAACAGCGTAGTAGCTAATCAAGAACATGAACCTTTTTCTTATATGTATTTTATAGGTTGAAAACTAATTTTGTAACATCACAGGTTAAAAAACCCACCCAAACCAAATCAAACCCCCAAAACCCCACTGAACCCCCCACTTCTATATAGGAATGTTTAGAAGCAACAGTCAAACAGTAATGCAGTACAACTCCTGTCTTTAAAGAACTTGAGCAGTCAGGGTATTGTGCAACTTTAAAGATTTCCTAAAGCTCTGGGGATGCGGTTAACCCCTCTGTTTCTACAGTGCTTTAGGTAGCACTTTACCATTGAGAATCCCTAATTTTGGACTAGGAGCTGAGCCCTGTATGAGCATGTTAAAAAATCTTTTACTAAAAAATTTACCTTGTTTGTGGGAGAACTTGCCTGACAGGGAGATGCAGTTTTTCTAGGAGAGGTGATTTTTTCTTTTCAGATTAGAAAATGAAAAGTCCCCATCTTCAGATTGACACAAAGTAAATATATTAAGCTTCCATTATATTTTTCCTTTTTGCCCTTCTGGAAAGAAGGCAGAATAAGTGTGGTGTCAGTCATATGACGTGGTGCCCGCCCAGAAAACATTAAGGTGTGACTACCTAAGAATTGCAGTAAAACAGAGAGAAGCCATGTATCCACTGTGTGGCAACACAGTGTTTGGCCAGACAAGGAGAGTTCCCATTTGGTTTTAGGTGGTATTCCAATATCACTGTACGAATACTAAAATTTTGCTGCAGAGATGCTTTAATTAACCAGCAGGTAACATTTTCAGAAACCTTTGGTCAGTTCTTGCACCCTCCCTTTCAGCCTTCTTGTGTTTTAACTGGAAGTAGATGCTGGCTGCCGTAGGAAAACACATGTGATAAGAGAATTAAAGAAGTAGGATATCCTGAGTGTTAAATCACCCAGGCATTTAGAGTGCTTAAATTTTGTGTTTCATGGAAAAACTACCAGTTCTTGATTTAAAAGGTTTTGGAAAATAAAATCTATTGTAGAATCTTTATTGGTAAATTGTTTGGAAACCACTTTATTGTTCACTGGTCCTACAGAATAAACATCAAGTACGTACAGTAATATTGAGGAAAATGACTGTTTAAATGACCATGTGCATAAAAATTAACACTTAGTTTTCACTAATCCTGAGAATTTTCATGTTTCATAAGAGGACTGGTATTGTGTTATGAGAGATATCCACATCTGTGTAACATGACTCTTTCACGAGTAGTTCATTGCCATTTTATTGTTACAGTTCTAACATGTCTGTTATATGTATATACAGAATATCACATTGCTTACATTTCTTGGCTGCTTTCATGCTGAAGGTGTATGTCTCATTTAGTGAGATGTTAAACTGCATGTTAAAAATTTCTGGGTGGAGGTAAGTGATGGGAAAACCTGTTAAAGTTTCAGTACTTGCTTCAGAAAGCCAGCTAACTTGTGATATACTGTACGCGCACATCTCTTGCATTATCACTAGAACTGGTCTTTCTGACCAGTGTATCAAGGTGTATGGATCAGTGTTTTCACTAACTGTTGTGTTGTTGCATTGTTAACAGTTCGCATGGACTCATGTCACTTTGCTGATCACTGTAACTCAATCTCATCTTGTCATCCAAAATCTCTTTGAAGGCATGATCTGGTAAGGGGACAGTAATAAACTGATTTGTAACTCTATTGCATTGAAAGGTTGGTTCTTTTGCATAGATCTGGTTAGGAAATAATTGTGGGAACAGTTAAAGCAGCACAAATTAAAGGAGCATTAACGTCTAGTTGGAAGGGGAGTCAGAGGAATTGGGAGCAATGAGGTAAAGGATACAGGAGAGGAAGCAGAAGCCTCTTTAATTACATTGGCAGCCACAAGTATGATAGTTTTGAACAACCACTTCATTTACTTGCAAGGAATAGGATTGCTTGCATGCTTGGTGAAATAGTTTCCATAGCATTTTGCTGAATGGATAAATGTGCAGCAATTCTTTTCCAATTGCTTGGGAACTTCAGGTTGCTCAGAGCTATTGAAGTTGGACCATTTAATTTGAAAGCCCCAATCTGGCTGCCTTCCCTGTTCAGATAAATTTGGATTACTTAAAATATTTTAAGAGTTCAAATCTTGGATATTCTTGGGTCATCTTAATGTCCCATTTCCAGTGATATATTAAATTCTGATGATGCAGTTAAACTTGATTACTTAAAACCGTTCCTCAAAGAGAGGGAGTGTTTTCCCACCCCCCACTTCTTTAGAGACAGAGTAAATTACAAGTTGAGAAAGAAGGAAGAAGCACATGGAAGATGATTTGTGTTCTTCTAAGGACATAATACTGCATGTTCTCCTTTTTCTTTTCCTGATATATGTACAACTGGGGACATTATTGCAGACAAGATGTGCTCATAGTTAAAAAGAAAACCAAAAGCCTTTGACAAAGTTTGTATAAACAAATTCTTTTCATAGTGATCATATTCACATGCCAAAAGCTGAACCTAGTTGCCTTCCTTGCCTACTATTTTGTATTTCCATTTGTGCTAGGCAATTTGGCAGATGGTCACAAAATCTGACTTTTAGCTTATTAATACATCTCTGCTTTGAAAAGGGAAAAAAAGAACAGGCTGGAGTAACAAATTCAGATGCTGTCTGCATGCAAAGAACACTTAGAAAGCTAACACAGGCTGCTCCAAACTGACAAGAGGGGAAAAAAAAGGAAAACTTTTTTAAAAAAAAATTTAGGTATCATTAAACTTTACAAGGAATTTGTTTGCTTTGATGTTACCAATAACATTAACATGTTTATATCTATTGATTTTTTCTTAACTGTGGTACCAGTCTTCAAGCCTGATAGGAAAAAGCCAGCCTGTTCATGTTTTAACCTCATGCACCAGAAATCATATTTTAACTTGAACTAACATGGATCTGTAATGGTCTTGATTGTCTGAAGACTAAAACCAGTATAACTAAACATGCTGTTCATGGGGGAACTAGGTGAACACGTGACGAAATCCTAAATTTCTTCTAAAGACTGAGAAAAATTTTCCAGAAAGAAATGCTGCTGTTTCAATTTGTATCCTGTGTTTAGGTTAGGGGAGCTTTTCTTCATGAACCTTTTAACGTCTTTCTCTAGGTTTCTGGTTCCGATTTCAAGTGTTATCTGCAATGATATTACCGCTTACATTTTTGGATTCTTCTTTGGCAGAACTCCATTAATTAAGGTATGTACTTAAGCACTTCCTCAGTAACAAGCTTTTACAATTTATAGCATTTTAATGAAAAAAATACTTTCCGCTGTACTGCATGATACACATCTTTGCTAAAAATACAAATTGACTATTCTGTTTCTGAAGATTTGTAAGTGGAAAATAGGATTAATGTGACGGTAATATTGACATTGCAGTATAAAATAGTTCGAGCCTATTGCATCATCATTTATAATTATTTCCTTTTTTGATTTCATAGGCAGGTTTAACTGCATGCTAACTATGCAGAAACTAATTTGAAACAAGCCACTAGTTCATACATACCTATTCCTCATTGGGTCTCATTGATGTAGCACTGAGAGGGGCTCAAGTCTTCCTGTTCTGGTAGAATATGCAAGACCCCACAGAAAGCCATGAATTAGTAGTTTCATGATGTTGCCATGTTAACTTTTGGGTATTTACTTGGTTCTGATATTAAACTGCTCCTAAATTGAAAACTTAATAGAATTTGATGAAGAAAATAGCTTGCTACACTGGTCTCTCTAGGCCTGCAGTTATTTGCTGTATTAGTTTGCCAGTCTATATGTAAGAAGCTAGTGTCTCCTGAGGAGCATCCCTAGCAGCAGCTGTGTAACACGCAGGCTTCTGTTGCTATCTAAATGTGCACTTGCTAGCAGAGGTCTCCAACAGAGCCATAGTGCACTTGTACAGGTTTCCAAGTCTTCTGCTTGAAGGAGCCTCCAGACGGCAGCAGCAGATGGGAAGGGAGCGCTCCTTTCCCTCAAGCTGCCCAGTAGCACCAACCAAACTGTGGCACTTTCCCTCTTTGCCTGGACATGTCCTAGCCATACTCCTCTACTTATCATGTTCAGTAGCTGCAGCTGCTGACATTCAGTGTTTCACACATTTCTTTGAAAAAACAAGTAGGAGCTTAATTTTCACAAACAAGGTCCAGAAATAGAGTAAAAAAGGGTTCAGTGATGCAACTGATGAGGCTAATGCTATCTCTTTTGTGCCTAGCTGTCTCCCAAGAAGACCTGGGAAGGGTTCATTGGAGGCTTCTTTTCCACAGTTGTATTTGGATTTATTGTAAGTTACCACAGGACTTTCCTTGTATAGATTCAGTCTTCAACTTCCTGTTTTTACTTGAAGTAAAATTACTGACAAATTTGGTCATCTCAAACTGCTGAAATCCTAAGAGTTGCAGAGGGGGATGGTTTGGCTAGAGAATTCTGCCAATTTGTAACTAGCTGAAGAGGCTGGGCAAGGCTTGCACCTTTCAGGAATTGGTTATATTGGCCATTTTTGCTATTACTGTATCTGGAATTGTTCTATTAGTTGCATCCCTATTTTGAAATTTCAGTTTATTGATAGCATTATTTATGCTTTGTAAAGTAGTAGTTTTGTATTATGTACTTTATAATGACATTTTTCCTGAGAAGTAGTTTACACTGTTGATGTGCATAGAAGATAACAGCGTGCAGTAACTTTTCTGATAAGTAATTTATCGCCAAGGTCAGCGGAACATAACTGCCAAACTTGGTAGAAGCAATAGTTCAAATTTTGGTGGTGAAGTGAACTGCAAAGAAATGATGAGTAGCTAATGTTTTGGGATTTTATAATGCAAAAATGTCCAGTAGATAAGAATCTGAGAGATACGAAAAGGAAAACAAGTTGGGAAATCATCACTAAGCACATTGAACGTCCACATTTGTCTGCCTTGTTAAGGCATTCTCCAGCTTAAACAGGCCAATTTTACTCTATTCTGGTTCTCTTTGTTATTAAAAATATTTTCATTTTCCTCAGCTTGCAATGGCAAAGCCATCCATTACAGTATGATTTCTGACTGTAACAACAAATGCATATTTCAGGCGTCCTTGTTTTGCTTTTCAGTTTTCCTATTTTTTGGCTCAACATCAGTACTTTGTCTGCCCCGTGGAATATAACAGTGAAACCAACAGATTTGTGACAGAGTGTGAACCTTCAGAGCTCTTTCAGATGAAGAAGTACTCTGTGCCACCATTGCTTCAGGCTGTGTTGGGATGGGTAAGGAAAAAAACAAGGCTTTGGCTAAAATTGAAATCATACTTCCCAGCTTGGATTGTTTTCTAAACCTTTTAGAAAGGCATAAGAATGCTGGTAAGGCTTGAAGGGTAAGGACTGGATGGATACCATGAGCCCCTCTCTTGCTCAGACAGGGGAGGTGGTCACCCAAGCAGAATTAAAATGCATTGGTGGAGTCACCTGAGGAAACCCACTTGTGTTCTTGTGGCCTGTATTCTCTTTGTGCTAGAAATGGGTGTCACTTAAGCATTTTGCAGGCAAACCTATTTTTGAAGAGCAGCCTTTTACATTTTTGTGGAAAGTGGACAAAGGTTTGTTAGGGCCTGAATTAGTAGCAGGCTTAAGTAATCTTGTAGAACCTCATCTGTTTTCAGCTAGTGTGTAACTGCTGTTAGGATTGGACTCATACTTTCTTCACCACATAGCATCTGGTGTGTTAGTGCCACTACTTCCACGCTGAGTGAAAAAGGAGTACCGGTAATAGTTCCGTGTAATGCAGTTACCAATCCTTTTCCTCACACGCAGCCTGCATACTGTCTTCAGTGAGCTCTTGTATCTTTACCTGTCAGGAAATAGGTCACCAATTATCCTACTATACAAAGCAGTATACAGTATACTATACAAAGACTAAGTCACAGGGTCCAGAGGTACTCCAACAGGAAGAGAATACCAAATAGAAACAAAGCAGTCTGTCATTGTCTTTCCTTTAGGGCAAGGAGGAGGTGACTGGGACAAATGCAGAACAAGAGGGTTCTGCAGCGCTCCCCTCGCCTGTGCAGTGGCTCAGTACAGAGAGTGAGTGCACAGCACTAGGGAAGGCAGTGGGTTTTTACCTGTGGTTACGTGGGCGTAACACTGAAGGAGAAAAGTTGATGTGGTTACAAGAAGAAAGCACAAACTGGAAACTGTAGCAACCAAACCTAAGACTAAAAGTAACTCGTGTCTACACTTGGTACTTAGAAAAGCAAGATTACATCTAGAAGGAGCTCTGATATTTTCATACCAAATGAACGTACTGTTGCTTCAGTGACTGTAGGGTTGATTGCAAATTTAATAAGGATTTTTCTGCACAAAACCATAATGTGGACTGAACAGAGAGACATCTTACTGTGTCTAGCTATATTGTGTATTTTGATAAAGGGCAAGGAGATGGGAACGCCCTGCTCTGTGCCAATCTGAGAGCGACCTATCAGTTAACCATAAAAAGAGATGGTAGTTCCACGTGCACTTCTGGAGTACTTTTGCCAGGCTCTCACAAGCATTTTGAGGAGACAATTAGTTTTAGCACTCTTTCTGTAAAGTCAAATTGAATCTACTTCTTTGGGCAACAGCCTGTTTTTGGTTTTCCCTCTGGTACTCAATTCCTGATGTTCTCTCTCAGAAATATGACCAGATGTAATGTTTGGAAGACATTTTTCTTTTTGTCAAAAGACATCAAGCCTTGTGTTCTCCCAACCAAATTGACTTAATTCCAACTCATAAACTTTTCTGCTTGACCAACTGAATAGTTTAGCCTAAAGGTGCCTTAAGATAACTGCACAAAGTCAGTAAGTTAACTGGTGTTGCCCAGCTGTGATGCAAATCAGAAATACAAGATACAGGAGTTTTCAGGTACAGATGGTGTTTATCGAGACTTGCCAGATGAGGTGTGCTCTGCTCTCAGGGATGAGGCCAGCATAATGTTCCCTCAAAGGCTGGAGCTTCTACCGTTAACTTGAAAGGGCTCAAAGTTAAGTTACCAAAAAAAAAAAAAAACCCCACAAAAAACCCCCCCAACCCTAAACCCCCCAAAACCAGAAAGCCCAAACAAACCAAAGCACCCCAATCAAAAAACCTATCAAACCTATCAACCGACAACCCACCCCCCTTTTCTCTAATCTGTGTCAGGAAGGAAAACAAGTACCTGTTGCCAATGAAGTCTGTCTTATCTGTAAGAAGTTGAATGGAACAAAACAGATTTCAAGTCTGTGAACATGCTGAGGGGAACAATATCTGTTTAAATGCAAACCAAGAAGTATTAATGGGGGTAAACTTTCCATCTCCCATTATTGCCATATGTACACAAACGTGACAGTATGGTGGACTAGTGCAAAATTCATATCTATCTTGTGAGAGCACTTGAAAGAAGTGACAGTGAATTGCACGAATGTGACAAGTTTGTGGAGAGCATTGGACCACTTAGTAGAGCAATACTAGGAATTTGTGGAAAGCTCCTTTGTTTACAGGAAATGGAGCTGGAAATCCAGAGCCAGGAAAGACTAGAGATTCCTGTTGTACATTATGGAATTAGCAGTTACTTTCCTTATGATCAGCTAAGGGATTGGCTGAAAACTACACCGTGTACTCTGTACAACAGGTATGAGGCTCTGGCTGTGGAAAGCCAGTCAATGGATGATGGTCCATCTGCAACAGAGGTGTTGCCAAGGTCAGAGAGGCTGACCTCCCCGTATCACGACCACCTCCACGAGGAAGAAACGATGGGTTATAGTTGTAGGCAACTCCCTTCTGAGGGGAACAGAGGGACCAATATGCCAGACAGACCCTGCTTTTAGGGAAGTCTGCTGCCTGCCTGGGTTAAGGACATTACTGGGAAATTTCCTAGCCTGGTACGGCCCTTGGACTATTACCCATTACTACTCTTCCCTGTGGGTGGCAGTGGAGCTGCAATGCATAGTCCAAGAGTGATCAAAAGAGACTTCGGGGCCTTGGGATGGTTCATGAGGGAATCTGGTGCACAGGTTATTTTTTCCTCTCTCCTTCCAGTTGCAGGCAGCGACATTTTGAGAAACAGACTGACTCAGTCTATCAATACATAGCTCCATGGCTGGTGTTACCACCACAATTTTGGGGTTTTTTTTATAATGGGATGGCCTACATGGTACCAGGCTTGCTGGCATCAGATGAGATTCACCTTTCTCCAAGGGGGAAGAGAGTCTTTGCCCAGGAACTTGTGGGGCTCATGGACAGCTTTAAACTAGACTGTTTGAAGGGGGAGGGGGATAATA